TCTTTTGGTATTTACCTCCATAGCTCTAAACCAGATGGTATATTGATACTTTCTGATTTTGTCCATGTTAGGCATTATGTATTGACTTTCCAAAGATTTAGCTCTGTTTACCCCACCCTCCCCCCTACCACACACGTGCTCACTTCCCATCCCCCCAATCTCCCAACAGAGTTATGTCATACTTGGTTGTATCAACGTCCAGTCTTCACATTGTGATGACCGTGTGATTCACACCTGAGTCACTTAAGATAACCATGATTTTCCCCCCTTCCCTCCATAGCTTTTTATATTCCACTGGAATTAATAATTGATCCCTCCCATTTATTTAGTTACATTTTTGATACTTTATCACCAGTCTAAGCTATAGTTCCCCCCCAATTGTGTAAACCCCCTCTCAAGAGTTTCACCCACAGGGGCACCTGGGTGGCTCAGTCGTTGGGCGTCTGCCTTTGGCTCGGGTCGTGATCCCGGGGTCCTGGGATCGAGCCCCGCATCGGGCTCCCTGCTCCGCGGGAAGCCTGCTTCTCCCTCTCCCGCTCCCCCTGCTTGTGTTCCCTCTCTCTCTGTGTCTCTCTCTGTCAAATAAATAAAAATCTTTAAAAAAAAAAAAGTTTCACCCACAATCCTATCAGTGTCAAGTGCTTGAATAAACCTTTCCTGGAGTTTTTTGACTAGTTTTCTGAACAAGGTGCTTTTTGTGCCTGGTACACGTGATGGTCCACCTGGGGTTTTCTTTTACCGTGATTTTGGTGATTCCGGTTGCCTGCCTCTTGTGTTGGAGTTCCCATTTCTTGGATCTAACATCTTACTCTCTAGGCTTCCTCCCTTGTTTTGGTGGAGCGCATCCTTTAGCAGCTTCCTGAGAGAAAGGATCAGGCACTACCTTTTTTGGGAAACTCTGCATTTCTGAAAATGTTTGATTCTCTTGTCATACTTGTTTTCTTTTGGTCATTTGGGTATAGAATTCTAGGCAGGAAAGGATTTTCCTTCAGAAGGCATTATTCCCCTGACTTCTGGTTTCCAGATTGGATGGTAACTCTGATGACATTCCATGACTGCTTTTTTGGAAGGTGTTTTATGAAACCTGATTTTTAATCTCTGAAAATCTCTCGGAGCTCTTTTTTGTCTCAGTTTTCTGAAATGTCATGGTAAAGTATAATTCAACTCTATTCTACCAACAAGTACTGAGAGCATGTGCTGTATGGATTATCCTACCAAATTCTCCAAGGTACACAAAGATATACACAAGTCCTTGAGGACCTGGAAATGTAGGGGAGTATGGGAGATAAGGGAAAATAGGATTTGGTGAGGTTGCGCTATATAACACATACAAGATTTGCAAGAGGCACATTTCCACAAATTCCAAGTGTCGGTATTTTTTAAGAGGAACTGATCCAGAATCTCGATCTGATTCATTCATTAGCAATTTAGCCTTCCTACGCACTCAACAAATTCCATGCCTCACACATCTGCAGCCCCTGCTTATCCGGTGGGACATTGTGACTTCGAGTCCTGCTTTTGTTGCCAGGAGTAGTTGTTAGCCTCTAGAGGGCAGACTTTGCTACTATTCTGCTGAAGGCCAGGAAAGCTTGAGTTCAATGCCAGAGGGTCCCTCAAGCTCCCTGGGGAATCAGTTGGGATAGAACAAGGAACCAGGGCCCCCCTTCAGGAAGCAATCTCTAAAATGTATTTCTCCTTCCCATTCAAGGTGTACCTATAGATAGGACATATCTATCTATCGAGAGACAGATGTAACTCATAGTAAACTGCTCAGTAAATGTTTTCGCAATGGATGAACACAGAATATTTCTCTTTATGTAATATCTACCCAACATTTATATAGCTGTCCATCCCTGGAGGGAATCAGCCAAGAGACAGCACTACTGTGGTGGCTCCCAGATTATTATTACTGAAAACGATTTTGCAGATATTTTTAATCCTCATTTTATAGACCAGAAACTGAAGGATAGAGAGGTTAGTAAGCTGAATCCAGACCTCACGTTAGATCCTTAGATCTGACTCACTCTACCACAAAAGGCAACCCCAAATATCACTGGAATGGCAGGTTAGACCACTTGGGATTTGTCACCAAACTGAAGCATTTGTTACCCCAGAGGAGCACACAGTGGGGGAGAGGAGGTGTGCTGGGTGGAGGGGAGCTCACAGAACCATATTGTTGCTTGTTTTGATGCTAAGTAGCTGTGGGGCTCTGAGTTACAGGCTCCAACTCTCTGGGCCTCAGTTTCCATATCTGTAAGATGCAGTTAAGAATACATTGTAAAGGGGCACCTGGCTGGCTCAGTCAGTAGAGCATCTGATCTTGATCTTGAGTTCAAGCCCCACACTGGGTGTAGAGATTACTTTAAAAAATTAATAAATTTCTTTCTTTTCTCTTTCTTTTTTTTTTAAGATTTTATTTATTCATTTATTTGAGAGTGAGAGAGAGAGAGAGAGCACATGAGAGGGGGGAGGGTCAGAGGGAGAAGCAGACTCTCAATCCCGGGACTCCAGGATCATGACCTAAGCCAAAGGCAGTCGCTTAACCAACTGAGCCACCCAGGCGCCCTTTCTTTCTTTTAAAAAAGAATACATTGTGAAGAGGTGGAGAGAGGTCCATGATGATCTAGGAATAAGAAGCAGTGAGAAGTCTTAGAAGGCCTTCCAAGAGAATGGAGGTTCTGTGCTCCTTGGAGAATGATGGGAAACACTGCTGGAATTTTGAGAATGGGGACTGTTAAATTAGTGTAGAGATTCTTCGTGGGTATGACTTTTCTCTCCAAACATTCCATTATAATCCAAGGCCCCATAATTTCTGCCAAAAAGTGGATGCCTCCAGTGTTCCTCCTCCTGGGAACCAGGGGCTCAGGCCCCACAGGGGTGCTCAAATTTGGCTCCCTGCTGAGGTCACCTGGGGAAATTTATTTTTTTTTTAAAGATTTTATTTATTTATTTGACAGAGAGAGATACAGCGAGAGAGGGAACACAAGCACGGGGAGTGGGCGAGGGAGAAGCAGGCTCAGAGCCCCATGTGGGGCTTGATCCCAGGACCCCGGGATCATGACCCAAGCCGAAGGCAGACGCCTAACGACTGAGCCACCCAGGCGCCCCACCTGGGGAGCTTTAAATGGGCAGATGCCAGGGATCCACTCTTAACGAACCTGATTTGGGTTGTGGCCAAGGTACTGGGAATGTTGAGTTCCCCATGTGATTCTAACGTTCAACCCAAGTTGAGAACCACTGCCCGGGGCTTTAAATTCATTTTTTGTTTGAAAATTTAAAAAGAAAACAAAAGGAAAGCAGTGGCACCCAGTGGCTCTCAAACTTTTATGTGCAAACAAACAGATCACCTGGAGATCTTCTAAAATAGAGCCTCTAATTCAGGAGGTCCAGGTAAGCTAGGCTTCTGCCCTTGTAACAAGCTCCCAGGGGCATGCCCACACTGCTGTCCCTAGACAGCTTTTGAGCAGCTAGGCTGTAGCTTGAATGAATACAGACTTGCCAGGGAACCATGGCTCTTCAAGCCAGCTGGGATCTTAAGAAGTCACTTCACTTTTTGAGCCTTAGTCTTCTGATCTTAAATGCAGGCAAGCCATAGTACCTACATCGTAGATTTCTCGTGATGCTTTAATGACATAATGTAGTAAACATGTTTGGCACGATACAACAAATGTTAGCCTTTGAATTATCAGGATACCCAACACTCATGGAACGCTTACCATCTGCCAGGAATTTTCAAAGCACGTTCATGTCCTACATCATTCAAGCTTCAAAACGACACTGTGAGGTGGGTACTTATGATTTCGCCATCCCTATTTTATGGATGAAGAAACCGAGGCAGAGAGGTGGAGTATCTTAATTTACATCACACACCTGGGAGTAGCTAGGCTGGTGTTTGAACCCAGGGAGAATCTCGGCTCTTATCCCTCTCTGGGGCTGAAATGGACGCTGCGAACAGGCATTTCTGCCCTGCAGGCCTGACACTCTGGAGGCGATGACTTGAGGGATTACCCTCTGTAATGGGGCTGGGATCAACAGGTGGCAGCCCAGGGCTACTTAAAGACCACATAGCGCTGGGTATTCCATCCCACAACGCCGCCACCAAAGACTCTCCAAACTCCTGGAGGCTGCCCTCCACCCGCAGGTGCTCGCCTAGGAAGCTGCCCAGGGACCGACAGGAAAGAAGAGGCCTGCCTCACAGGTTCACATCTGAGTTCCCCAATAAAAGACCACGTCCGCAGGCAAAGCAACGAGCAAAACGAGTTTCCGCAATTCGCGTTTACCCGAGGAGCGCAACCAGACCGAAAAATCTACAAATCTCTTTATACCGAAAGTTCAACAAGGATCTGGGAGCTCAGCCAATTGGTAAAAAGTCGGGAAGCCCTCTTGAATTTCCCCAGAGCACTCTGGAGGCGCCGGGCATCGGTGCCCACGCGCAGGGGATGGGGACCCGCACCGAGGAGACGCTATCTGTGGGGGATTACCTCGGCAGAATTTAGGGGATTTTTTCCTGCGGGGTCCCCTGGGAGAGGCAAATGAATCTGAGGGGCAGTGCGGAGGGTGTGGGTTAACCCGGCGGTTTCCATGGCACCCGGGGCGTGGGGGAGGAATGCACCCCGCAAGCTGTGGCGAAACAACTGCGCAGCCAGACCAGCCGGGCTCGAGAAGGCGGGAGGGAAGGGGGGAGCAGGAGGGTGGGGGAAGCCCGGCTGGACGGGGGTGGGGCGGTCACGTGCGCCCGAGGGGGCGGGGCCCCAAGCCACCCCGGAGCGGAACCGAGTCCCACCTAGAGGCTCCGTGCCAGGCGCGAACTTTTCTCCAGGACCGAGGGACTGAACTTGGCCTGAACCCCTGGGGAGGACTCAAGGCACCCGTAGCCAGCACCGGGCTGAGGTGTCTGCGGCCGGCCTAAGGGACAGCGGTCGGTGGCAAAAGACACCAAGGAAAAGTGGGAACAGAAGCTTGGGGGTGAGTGAAGGGATTTCGTCTCGCAGTTTTTACGCAGGCTCGGGTCTCCGTGTCTTCTGGGGTGGGCCTGGGCAAGTGCCCTGTCAGCTGTAAGGGAGCAGCCGAGGCCACTGTCCCTTAAGACTGCCGGGGTCCTCAGCACCTGTCTCGGGCTCCAGGAGAGGCTGTGGTCATGGTGAATGAAGAGCCCAACCAACAGGAGCACGATGGCAGCCCAGCGCAGGAGCCTGCCCTGCGCGCGGACCCCAGCGCCTCGGCCCACCCCAGCGTCTCCATTCACCCCAGCGTCTCCATTCACCCGAGCGTGTCGGCCCACCCGAGCGTGTCGGCCCACCCCAGCGTCTCCATTCACCCCAGCGTGTCGGCCCACCCGAGCGTGTCGGCCCACCCCAGTACCTTGGCCCAACCCGGTGGCTTGGCCCACCCCAGTAGCTCGTGCCCCGAGGACCTTAGCGTGATCAAGGTGAGCAAGCGCCGCTGGGTGGTGGTCCTGCTCTTTAGCTGCTACTCCATGTGCAATGCCTTCCAGTGGATCCAGTATGGCTCCATCAATAACATCTTCATGAACTTCTACGGGGTCAGTGCCTTTGCCATCGACTGGCTGTCCATGTGTTACATGCTGACCTACATCCCTCTCATCCTGCCGGTTGCCTGGCTGCTGGAGAAATTCGGCCTGCGCACCATCGCCCTCACCGGCTCTGCTCTCAACTGCCTGGGGGCCTGGGTGAAGTTGGGGAGCCTGAAGCCACATCTCTTCCCAGTCACCGTCCTAGGCCAGATCATCTGCTCTGTGGCCCAGGTCTTCATCCTGGGCATGCCCTCCCGCATTGCTTCTGTCTGGTTCGGGGCTAATGAGGTCTCAACGGCCTGCTCCATAGCTGTCTTTGGCAATCAGGTGGGTCGAGGAGTTGGCAGGTGTTCAGAGGAATGGGCATCATATCATTGTGAGGCTCACTGTGTTGGGTTGTACCTGAGGGCACCTAAGTGTGTGGGAGCCTGTGGTTTTCTGACCTCAGCAGTGTTTGTGACCCTGGGGGACTCCATGGCTGGGCGGGAGTGAGGGATTGTGACTGGATGGCTCTGTAAGAGAAGGTTAGGGGAACAGAAGGAGACCTTTTCCTTCACCGACAGTTTCTCCTCCCCCAGCAGAAAGCATGCTTCTGGAATGTCCTCGGGTTTATGATCTCCTTCCTGACCCCGTCAGTCTGATATAGGAAAGACGTTATTAGGGTTCGAAGCCAACGGCCAAGAAAGAATTCTTGAGACGTCTTTGGTGCAAAAAGGTGATTTTATGAAAGCCTGGGGACAGGACCTGTGGGTAGAAGGAGCTGCAATGGGGTCATGAGGAGTGGCCCGTTATATACTTTCAAGTTGGGAGGGGGTTGGGGGTAGCGTTAAGTCACTAAAGAATTTTGGAAGCAAGGTTTCTAGGACCTTGAGAGGGCTGGCTATTGTTGGGAAAAGGTCATTTATTACTGTCTAATAAAACCTTAGTCATGAGACCCCTCAGATGTATATTGGTGGGCCATATGCTTGGGGGATGATTGCCAACATGTATCTTGGGGGGGGTTTAGAGATAAAGGAAGTTTCCAAAGGAATTTTTAATACGTTAAAGTAGACTTACAGGATCCTGGGGGAAGGGGGGGTCAGACTAGAATTGCCTTTTGGCCTTAGCAAAGTATTAACATTGAGGCAGCTGAGTCCCTAGAGGAATGTCACTCTGCCTGTTTCAAGGACTTGTCAATGGGCTGTAGGTAGTGAGGAAATTTAATAATTTTTCTCCTGCCTTTGTTTCCCACACCAAGTCCACTGGCTTAGACCTGTGATTTCAGGAAAGCTATTCTTTCTCAGGGAGCAGCCCATGGGCATCAGATTATTCTGGGATTGTCAGAATTTGATGGATATTTTTAGCCTGACTCACCAGCTTTCCTAGAGTGCTGTATCTCCTGTACTAACGTAGAATCACAGAGTGCTGGCTTGGGGGTGTTTGGCCCCGTGCTTACCTTCTTTTATACACAGCTGAAGTGAGGACAGTGGAAACAGTGCTCTGGGCCAAACTGCTTCCCTGGGGATTAGAGCCAAGCCTAGCAGGATGGAGTAGAAATCTCTCGCTGAATTTCCAAGGCCTAGAAACCTTTTTGGAAAGGCGTGGAAAGCTCCTATCTCAATCCCTTTTCTTTCTTTCTTTTTGGAAGGAGGATCTATTCTTTGCATCTCAGTGAGGTTATGACCCAAACGTTGGGCATGTTATTGATGGGATTTTGGAATATAGGTGAGGTTCAGTGGGGCAGGGTCCGGAGCCGACGACTAAGAAAAAATTCTTGAGACGCCTTTGGTGCAAAATGGTAGTTTGTGAAAGCACGGGGACAGAACCCGTGGGCAGAAAGAACTGCTGCCCCGGGGTTGTGAGGGGTGGCTGATTATATACTATGGAGTTGCGGGAGGTAAGGGAAAGGGAGGTTTCAAAAGGATTTTTGTATGTTAAAGAAGACTCACAGGATACCAGACGCCTTGCCATTGTCAAGTTAAGGTTGTTTACCCCACTAGTAAGGCATTAACATTAAGATAGTTGGGAACTTCCTGGAGGAACATTATTACACTCTGCCCACTTCAATTATCTGTCAATGGGCTGCAGGTTATAAGGGCATTTAATTGTATCTATTTCCCTGAGGAAGCTAGGTTATTGTAGGAATGCTTTGTTCTTGTAGATTGCTAAGACATTTGTAAACTGAGGGAGACTCATGTCTTGTAGGATTGTGATCGCTGTAAGTTAACTATTTGTTTTTCCTTTGGGGCAGCCAGGAGTGCCTGAGGAATGTCACTTAGATCCCATGGGGGGAGGGGTGTTGTGGGGTGTCAGCTTCTGCTTTGTCCTCAGCTTGCCTTCTGTTCTGTCATCATTATGACTGCCTTCTCCAAATATTTGAAGCAAGTATTTATGGGGTCCTTCTCTATCTAGACCACTGCCTCCAGGTCCCACTTCTTCCCAGGCACTTGCAGTTGTTTTCATTTTATTTTATTTAACACATGACCAGTAACCCTTAGTTCTTACTTTTTCCCTTATAGGAGGGTAAAGCTGGGAGGTGAAGGGCAGGACCTTTCCAACTTCCCAAGGGTTAAATCTCCCTATGAGCAGCAGAACGGGATTCAGTGCAATCTCGATCCCATTGTTTTGGGGAGAGCAGGATCGCTATGTGGGAGAAGCCCCACGGGTGGCCTGGTCAGATCCGAGAATCCACAATGTTTTTGTAAACCATAAAGCATAAACTATTAGGTTTTCAGACCCCTCCTCACACACCTGTGAGGGAACTTGACACCAGATAAATCTTTAAAGTTTAATAAGACTGTTTACTCATTCCCCACCCCCACTCCCCACCAAGGTCAGGAAATGCTAAGAATTTTACATTTAAAAACACTCTGACAGCATATATTTGTATCACGGAGCCATCTATTCAGTTTGATCTTTTCGTCTTAACGCTAGAAAAAATGTGCGGAAAAACTGAATTGGTAATGCTTCCTCACCGTCAGGATGAATATCTATGTTTCATTCTTGGCATGCGTTTTAACATTTCTTTCTGAGTAAGGCACAGCTGAATGGAGGAGAGATAGTATTAGAGTAGTATTAAGAGCTTTGCCGCTTAGGAAAAAAGGCTCCCCAGAGCTGTCTAAACAGACTTCAAATGCTGTTCCACAGAATAATTCTTCTTGGCCTACAGACCTCACACTGATCAGCTAAACTCTGTACTCTGATAATTCTGACCTCCCTCTTCTATGCCTCTTACATACTCCACACGTGCACCAGCCCTGCTTGCATCAAATTCGTCATTCATTCATTCATTCATTCAACAAGCATTCACCTAGTGCCTTCCATTTGCCGGGCATTGGGCTAGGGCTACAGAGATAATCCCTGCCTTTGCAGAGTTCCCATACCAGATTTTAAAATTGTACCAGGCACTAGGATTCCGATAAACAAACAAATAAACAAAAGCCTAGATCAGCGTATAAAGGATTTATTTTCAGTTCTCCACGAGATTTTTAGTATCTTCTTTGCCCAATTGCTTAGAAAAATTGAAGGGGAAGGAAGCTAATATCTATCAAACACCTATTATGTGCAAGGCACTTTCTTACCTATTATTTAATTTTTCAACTCTATGAGGTAGGTGGAATTGTCCCTGTTGTTATGGGGGAGGAAATTGAGACCCAGATAAATGTAGCAAACTTATCCAGGGTCCTACAGCTACTAAGCGGTAGGAGGGAGATTTGAATGCAACTCCACCTCCAAAAGCCCATGTCAATAAGCCAATACTGAGTTGTCATGTGGATAAAGCATTTATTTTTTATTTTAGAATTCAATTTTTAAATTAATTTTTAAATTTTTTTCATTAGTTAATTGGTTTTTTAAAAGTAGGCTCCACGCTGGGCGTGGATTCCAAGGCAGGGCTTGAACTCACGACCCTGAGATCACGACCTGAGCTGAGATCAAGAGTTGGACGCTTAACTGACTGAGCCACGCAGGCACCCCTAAAGCATATATTTTCAAAAAGGGGGAGGGCAGATTGTGAGGTTGGAATTTTGCCCCTGTGTCTGGTTGGTGGTGGTGATAAAGTATCCAGCAGTTTTCTCCAGAATCTGAGAACCTCTGTGTCTTGTTTTGAAGTGCCTGGCGTTAGTACCGTCTCCCCACCCAGTGTGTTGTAAACTGCTAAAGGGCAGATTCTGCCTCTTTGAGCCTAGCAAGAGTCACAAGAAGGTGGGGCTCCGGTCTTTGGGAAGAAGAAACCAGTGAGTCCTCAGCTGGGGTGAGAGAGGGAAGGAGTCTTAGAATTGCAACAGAGCCTCTTCCCTTTGTCTCTGGCCAGTTGCACAGGTGGTGACAGCCTGACATTTGGCAATACTTGTTCTATGGCTTCCAGGGAAATGGCCCATGTGGGCTTTTGAGTGATGTGGATGATGTTATAGTGGAAGGATTGGAAGAAAGCCCTGTCTTAGAGTCTGGTGATAGCTTGGTGGCACTGGACGGGAGAGATGTGGGAGCTTGAAGGGACCAAGTCAGTTCCAGCCCCTATGAGGAGCCTACAGCACCAGGGTGGGGAGGGACTTCCTCAAGGACCCCTGGGCAGCTGAGAGCCCACTGCCTACCAGAAAGAGAGTAGGAGAGAATGTTTGCTTTTCAAGTTATGAAAATATAGGAGTCTCCCCTTATCCCGGTTTCACTTTCCATGGTTCTAATCCCCTGCAGTCAGCCTGGAAACGGATGGTCCTCCTAACCTATAAGAGGGTCATCCATAGCCTAACACGATGTCACAATGCCACATCATTCCCCTTGCTTCATCTTATCACATAGGTGTGTTATCATCGAACATCATCGTAAAAAGGGTGAGCATGGTACAATAAGCTAGTTTGAGAGAGAGGTGACATGCACATAACTTTTATTACAGTATATTGTTACAGTGGTTCTATTTTATTACAAGTTATTGCTAATCTCTTACTGTGCCTAATTTACAAATTGAACTTGATCATAGGTAGGTAGGTATAGAGAAACATGTAGTACAGACAGGGTTCAGTACCATCTGCAGTTTCAGGCATCCTGTGGGGGTCTTGGAATATATCCCCTGTGGATAAGGATGGACTTACCTGTCTAGTGCAGTCATCTTACAGAATCCGGTGTGTAGTGGCCATGCTGTTTGGGCTTTCAGAAATAGCACCACCCAGTAGAAACATAAGGCAAGCCACATGTACAACTAAATTTCCTACTAGCTACATTAAAAACAGGTGAAATGTAAATTTTTTAAAAAGTAGAAAGAGCAGATGAAACTAGTTTTACTAGTATATTTTATTTAACCCGAAAAATCCAAAATAGTCTTTCAGCATGTAATCAATATAATAAAATCACTA